AAACGTTTGCTGTAAACGAAAGGTAAGTTTGAAAGAGAAACTGTAAAATAGTTACGGCTTCATCAAGGAATTATGGGGTAATTAAGAACGGAACAATTGTTTTCGAACAGTCAATAATGCGAATAATATCAATGATTTCCTCCGATGAGATTATCGTATTGTTTATTACATTAAAATCGTGGACATTTGAAAGAAGAGATAACTCGGTTCAAAGTCCAACAACGTTTACCTTGTGTTTGTTTGGTTTTATAGGTTTTAATATCCTATTAACAGCTAAGGACATTTAAGGACGTGATTCCATATTTTGTAATGTATGCGTGCATGTGTGTACATTTTGTATGTACATCTGTATGCTGGAGGCAGGGAATGTTTACATTATACTTGTCATTTTACTTAGTTAAACTTGCATTAAATCAAAATCCTGGACGTTATGCAGGGAATAACAACTACCATATTAAAAGACTTAACTATGCACTGCCTACCCCACTTCGGCGAACGCTCAACATTAAGATCAAAAGTGAGTTATTGCCAAACAGGTCACATGGAAACAAAAATATTGTTAGAATGTAGAGAGAAATTCTATAGATGTTGCAAAGGGCGAAGCAGATCAGTTTTTATTTTTTATATCCCCTTAGCAGAAAACACAGAAGAAAATTCGTTGTTCTACAGGGGGCCCACGTTTGCTGCCTTTGACCAATTATTTGCTTATTCTTTCCCCAAACCTACAGGGGAGGGCAAGTATTCATTGACAGTTTGTTTACCTTGTTTGCCACCAGTGTAATACAAATTGTATTTAGATAGTTGCACGATCGGGATTTTAAAACACAAAAATATCCTAAGAGATAAATGTAACATTTTGTAAACGAAATATTTCCAGACAAATTCCGGAACTCTAGAATGACACTTGCATGAATATCTAATGATAGATGAAACCAGTGTTTCTAAGATTAATTAAAGTAAACAAAATATCAACACACAAAGATCAAACGCGCTAAGGAATAACACATCTATTCATAGCGACGCTCTGTGTTCGTGAGTCAGGTAGGTGTGTTACGAATGGACGCGCACATATACATGTAGCAATTACATTCCAGAGGTACATGAGCTCTTGTATCCGTATTAACCACATATATCTACGGATTCTGTCAGTGTTGTCCAGTTGTGCATATATGCCCAGTTGTGCATGACGTCACACACTAGCTGCCTATATTGGCACCTGGATTTCACCCGTCTACAATTACCAATTCATATGCTTTACATAAATTCAAAAACAAATCCCGCTGTATGCTTGATTACCTCCAACTGGTCTTTCGCTAACGTATCAGGTGTGTATTTAAATGAAGATATTATTCAATATACTAATACAGATGTAAAACAGAATCTAACACCGGTATATTCGGTTTCAGGCGAATTAAAATAAGTTTAAACTGATTTTTCTATGTGTCATGCTGACGGTGGTAGATGAGTTCTTTGCGCATGGTGAATTTAAACCTTAATTATTTTGTTTACAAAGTCACAAATGTGTGCCGTATAACGCAGTTGGGGCTTGGTTGCAAAAAGTCATAGACAGATACTTGCCTTTTCTTTTTGATTCATTATAATAATCAGAGATTGGATATTTTGTCAGTACTTTTAATTTCCTGCGACAGAGAGTTGTTTATGTTATAATTTGCAGTTTCTTAACTTACGAAACTCCTGGGTCAATATTCATGAAACTATTCTCATGTTCAAGGTCAGATTCTATACTCAAGCCTAATTTATTGATTGACTGATGAATACACATCAACCCACATTCTGGCAATGGTTTGTAATTCTTTGAGATACTTGAATCCAAAACGCGTTTTCAATGTTTACACTCTTATTTTTGATTTTGTTATATGATTCATATATATATATATATCAAGTGGTTGCATATGATCAAAGGAAAAGGTGCCCTACCTGAATCTATAGTCATGGAGACTTATTGGGAAGAAATAAAGATATAGATACCTGTGTACAAGATCAAGTCAAAATGCAGCGATCTGTGACAGATTGGGAAACAAATTAAAAAAAAAAAAAAAAGCAGTCAATGTTAGTCCCTTTCCAATCAAAACTCAATATTTACAAAACATGTAAGATAAAGTATTGGTGGCTTTAAAAGAGACACTGGAAGTTCCATCGTATTTTTATTCATTGATCACATCAAACTTGAATAAAGCTATACTTTACATAAACAGGCACATGAATACATACAGCTTAAGTACAATAATGAATGAAAGTACAAGTGTAATTAAATGTGGTTTCCACTAAAGATGTAATACAGAAATGATGAACGTGACTATACTTTAAAGGAAGCGTATACAAAATATGTTTCGGGGGGAAAGGAGATAAAGAAATGTACGTTAAAAGGGAGGGAATTCGTATCAATGCATTTTCATTCTATAAGACATTAAAATGTTTTGTACTTCGCTTACATTCTGATGTTAGAAATCTTCTGCATGCAGAGAACCTTCGTAGCGTGTTCTCTTAGTCTACTGTCGTCTTAATTTCTGTTGCCGATCATGGTTACATTTTTGCTTGATATATTAAGTTCTATGTTTTCTTTGGCCGATACACCCACTTTTGATAACAAGTTTGGATGACGCAATTCCAAAACAGCTACCCGAAGTATCACTTGTTTTAAATGACTCGCACAACTTAATCATTTACTATATATTATTTCTTAGCTTTTGAGCTAACACATTTAATATTTGAGGTTCAACACTAGTGACAACTGTCTAGATTCATAGACAAATACCTGACAAATGGCTCAAATGGCATATTTGTCAAGTTTAATGGCATTTAAGTGTGTTAAAGGCATGTGCTTATGACAACCGGTAGTTTAAAAGCCAAACCGGTAAAGCGGGGCGGGAACACTCCCTGCCTTTTGATCCCATTCAAATTCCCTTTATTTAAAATGTACGTCGAGTATGTGTACATAACACCGGTTGCAACAAAACTTTTTCTTTAAAAGCATTATACAGATATACAAAGAATCAATCCTTTATGGTTTCCAAGGTAGTTCTCACAAATACTCATTGATTTCTATTTTTAATGTGTTAACATATTTGACTGATATGACCTCATTTGGTAAACCATTTCTTAGGATCATCCTGGCGTACAAAGCTACACCAGCAATCGAAAGCAGGCTGAATGTATCAGCAGGTTAGTTAATTAGAGCTCGTTCTTCGAAACATAGACCACTGCCATCAGTTGATTGGTGATACCAATAACTAGACAGCTGTCAGCAGCAGATTGGTGATTCGAATAAGTAAACTGTTGCCAGCAGCGGATTGGTGATTCGAATAAGTAAACTGTTGCCAGCAGCGGATTGGTGATTCGAATAAGTAAACTGTTGCCAGCAGCGGATTGGTGATTCGAATAAGTAAACTGATGCCAGCAGTGGATTGGTGATTCGAATAAGTAAAAAGCTGCCAGCAGCAATTCAAATAAGTAACTAGCAATAATTAACCTGTTGATGGTTAATGAGTAGTTTTTTTCAAGGTAATAAGAATTAGTAAATCATAATTTTGAATAACAAAACTCTTAAATAATAGTTGCTCAGTGTTTAAAAAGGGCATAACAAAGGCATTTAAGAGAGTTTCAAACAATCTAAACCTTGTTTTTGCTTCATAAGATATGAGCAAATGTTTCCCTTTCTTACTATACATAAAACACAATGGAAATTATTTGTAGGTCCGTGCTCCAATAAAATGGAATGGGTTGTTAAAATATATTGATGCATCATAAGTCGTAACCATTGAAGTATTGCATTATTAATTACTCTGAAGGGAACGGTATATCTTTTCCAGGTTATTTCATTGTAATCAAACAAAGTAACCCATTAATATTCTCCAGATACAATTGTATTATTTTCATCAAAATAATACAGCAAAATAATTTGGAGCACTACCATAACGCTTAATCTTTTACTATTCCACCGGAAGAAAAATTAAACTTTCTTTTGGGTTTGGTAGGAAAATAGAGAGATGATTCCTCTGTTTGATTACTGTTGGCAATATTTGACTTAGATTATTCTACCAGTTAGAGTTGTGTTTTTTTTTCGAACCATTGATTGACAGGGGATTTCGATCTAAATAGCGTTTTATCAAACTTACGTTTTTTTATATAGATGGGGGTAATGTTTAATTGAAGAATCAAAATGTATAAACCCCCTGTGAGATTGATATTTGAAAAAAACATCAATGATATATTTTCTACTTATACATATGTACCGACAACTTGGATTTTACCTATATTTACTTTCCATAAATATAAAAAAAAATCAACATGTACCGCTCCCTGTAATATTAGAGAAGTGTCATGTGCATATTAAGAACTTAAAATCAGACAGTTATCAATATGTATACCAGTTCTCTTTTTATTGTTATGACATAATATACCGATATTTACACTTGCTTCGCATTCGGTAAAAATACAAAAAGAAAACAAAGATCATGACATCACAGCTGTCCATAAAATGATGTAAATATGTATGTCCCCCAAACGAAGTGAGGGGGCATGTTGTTTTGCTCCGTTTCTTTTTCTTCTTTGCCGTAATCTTTTCCCCACGCGTTTTTTCAAAAACTGTACATTGGATTCCAATGAAAATACACATGAGTATTGGGGCGTGTGCTAATATATGCAAGACACCTTTTTTCGGAGCTGCACATCAAATATGGCTGTCGTATACTGGCTTCTGATTGGTCGAAATTTCGATATTGTTCGATTTTACTCGAATTTAGTATGTAGGTGTATTTTGGCACTGCAAACTCAACCGAGATAGTGTTTGATTTTGCTCAAATTTGATATGTAGCTGTATTGTGCCGACCTTGACTTGTGTAAATATTCATAAAGATTTGGGGGGGGGGGGGACATCCGTAATGGCCTCCATTATAATAAGCACTTGTGGGGGGGGAGGGGACATCCGTAATGGCCTCCATTATAATAAGCTCTTGTCAGTAAATGTTTTTGTTTTGCAGGAACCTCGCTCTGTAGGCAGGATTGTATTGTGTTGTGAAACGTCAATATTGCAACTATCGACTAGGCGTGATACAGTAGCAACATGTTCCGGCTGTCCACAACCAAACTGAAGGTCTTCATTGCCTTGATGATCATTCTACTGGTGTACGTACATACTTTAGAAAACAAAATACCAAAATATCAATAAATAACACCAAAGTCAATATACAATGCTAAACACTCAATATGAATAGGCATAAAAAGGCATGGATTTGTATACGTTTGTTGGAAAACACTCTATGTTATCTCCCAAGTTCTATCATACTCTCTTGGATAAGCAAATAAATATCTCTGTAACTTAATACATAATTATCTCTCTAGTTTGCCTCCCATTATCCGATACATCTACGTAGTACGATATCTTTACCTCACAACCACATGCTTGGATCAAAGGATTTCACCGCGCCATTGAGAATGTTTATTTATTGCATGAAAATGGTAAGGAAATTGATTTCATTTATTTTTTGGTCTTTTCTCATTTAGGTTACGATACTTCAATTCCATTGATTTGCAACAATATTCGTACACCGGACAATTGACGAACGATGCCAGACACAAGTAAGTTGGTTGGTTTGATTAGTATTATTTAACGTCCTATCAACAACCATGGCCATTTAAAGACGGCCTCCCCTGTGCGCAAGATGCATGTGTGTAGTGTATGCGTGTGTGCTTTAGGAGGCTGCGATATGTTCGTGTTTGTCTCCTTGTGATAGCGCGGAACTGATGCCGACTTTATAGTGCTACCTCACTGAAACATACTGCCGAAGACACCCAGCAGGACACCCCACCCGGTCACATTATACACTCCTGAATTGCTGAGCGTTAAGCAGGTGTAGAAACTACCATTTTTACAGACTCTGGTATGGTTCGGCCAGGGGACAGAACCCAAAGCATTCCTCACATGGGGCGAACACTCAAATAAAGGCCAAAAGTGGGACATTTTCAAGGGAGATATTAGGAAAAAGAAAGTTGTTTAGAAATAAGAGAAAAGATAAGATCCTAAATTTAGTCGCCTCTAACGATCATGCAAAGGGGGGCAGCAGGTACAATTCCTGTATGAGATGATTCACTCGGACTTCTGACCCAAAATCTTTTTTTTTTTGTAATATTCTCAGATCTTGAGATCTATTTCTTTCTCAATCGAGCAATATTCTCAGATACAAATTTCTAACTTCACATTTGTTGGGTGTACCACAACTCTTCATATGTAACCTTATTTACGGCGAAGAAGTTTCGGTACAATGTTTTGTTGTAGTATAACATTAATTCGAGAAACACTTGCAATTAATATTTTCTTTAGTGAATTTTTGTATCTAAAAAGTAGACTATGAATTTAAAAAACTTAAAAATAAAGGCCTGGATCATGATTAGAAAAGTATTTATTAGGAAACCCGGTCGGGTTTTTTTAAAATACAAATTGGTCTTAACTACAGTCGAAACAGAGAGGGAAGTACTTGAACCCTTCAATGGTTTCCGCCGCGACACTACTCGCCAGATGGCGCGCGTGTACAAGGGCGGGCTACTACCGACGTCAACATGGCGGACGAGTGTTTTCAGAACTGGTCGGTACAAAAACTGAAGACTGAATTGAGGAAACGAAGTGCTACTACTACCCATTGCAGAAAAAGTTATTTAGTTGAAAGGTAAAACATATTATATTTCATACTGAAAAAAAAAGCTGCATTTATTGTTGCCTTGCTATCAGTTTCACCCTTCAGCTCTTTGATTAACCGTTTGGATCATCTGTCACTGTTGACGTCATAGAAAGTGAAAGAAAGGTGTTGGGACAATCCGAACTACCTAATCATTATGTCCTTTTTTATTTTTTTGATGGGCGGATATCTCCATTCCTATCAATAATGATTGAGATCAAGGTGTGAAAATAATAGGAAGATTTTTACAGTGTTTCTTTTCTCCTTCTTTAGATGTCCTCCGTTTCGGAATGGACGATTATGAACGTGTTTGGGATGAACAACAAAATGTGATTAATATTTATTTTGAGGCTTTTTTTCTATAAGATAAAAAGAGTTTTACATATGATAAGGTAAAGACGGCGTTATTTAGTTGTGTACTTATTGTAGGATCTATTTGATCACAGGAATATGCATAAAGGTTATTTTGAGCAATGTGCTATGATTAAGAACACCATTCAGGGGTAGCATCATTCTTCTGAATAGCAGTATGCATGAGAAGTGTGTAGGTGAACTATAATGTTCCCATCAAAACATAATCAAAAGATATTAGTACACAAAAAGATGTTTAGGAACACAGGGGCCCCGAGAAAAAAATTACAGAAAATATGTTCGGACTCTCTTTGTAGAAATGACATTTTTAAAATTATTTTGTTTTGTTTCATAAAACCGAAATTAAGGAATTAAATTAAATACATGTAGTGTAATAGAAATATTGCAGACTGACTTTTGTATTTGAACTCACTAACTATAGACTGCATATTTTTGTTTTTATTATTTTTAGATTAAAGGTCTATGAAGGAAAAAGGAACCTCAGGCAATCTGCTGTTGACCTGCCCAATGTCATTGATGTGTTTGGTCAGTTGCTGGATTTCAGCAATGGATACCAGATCACAGGATTATCCTTCCCAAATTGACTGGCCGCAGATAGAGGAGTACTTCTTGTACAGATTGGCAGGTATTTATAATCGAAAGGCTTAAATACAATTGAGTGTCATTGCTCATGTTGCAAGTGAATTTTAGTTCATTAAAGCATTACACAGCATTCTATTGAGTCATAGTCCTGTAACTTTTAATGGAACGCAGCTAGCTCAATTATTTGTACATTGTATTTCTTTTTTAATTAAATTTTACAATTCATAGATATTAAAATTTCATATATAGATTTTTAATGAATAGAACAACAACAAAAGTCAGCTAACAGTTGTAGTAATGTCATGATCATCACACCATGACCAAGCACATGGTTTCACAATGCACAGCTGGCCTTTGTAAGCTCTGACTGTGGAAAAGCATTGAAAGTACTAAGCTTAAATGCAGTCATAGGTTGGCAAGCTGACAGTTGTAGCCCTTAATTTCTGCCAATCTCTTATATATTTTTTTTATTTTTTTTTTCAAAATGACCCAGATTTACTGCAATTCGATCAACTTCAGACTTTGTTTTGGTAAAAATTATTCATATACATACTTTTACAGATTACTGAAGAAGGTGCTTGGGAGTTGGAGACCTAAATCAAACGCCTCGAAATAAAATGTCCATTTGTAGGTCGCACATCATTTATCCCACCAGGCAAGATGTTTCCATTTCTTATATAGGATGTACTTTATTGAATATACTTTTGTAGCGTGCTTGTCCAAAAGATAGAATTTGATACTGAGTACTGTGAATTCAGTCTGTTACCCATACTAAAACTATTGTATGTGAAACACATGTCTACATTGCTTTTCATATGTAAAAAGAGCAAGGTCAATATCCTTGTTACTTTCTATAGATTTGTATTATCATGATTATTCTATTTGCTGTAATTAGCACCAAGGGCACTCAAAGATTGGCTGAAATGGGTTGCTTATTAGGGTGATAAGACAAGAGCTTTAGCAGAAAAAAATGTTGCTTAATCATGATCATTAGAAAAACTGTGACAAGACAGCACTCAAGTCCCTTGTTGATTTTTAATACTTATTTGTGAGCATAAAATCCATAATCCATGATTACCAGGCATAAATACCTCCTGAAAAAGGGGGAGGGGTACTAATTGGGTGAGGACCAATAATTATTGCAAAGATGGTTTGTGAAATATCTTCATGGTTGACAAAATATTTCTTCATTTAATATATACATGTATCTAAATCTATCTTGCAATAAGCCCAAATCAGTGTTGTTTGCAGTCACAAAACATAAAAGTACATTTTTTATGTATTTTACAGATTGCTGTTCTGGATTTGGAGACACAACTTAAATTCTAAGCAAACATTATAGAATGAAAGATGAGTGGATAAGAAACAGTGCACTTATTTATGAATAGTGTAGTACATGTAGTTTATACTAATGAAGAAATATGTACAGTATATAGATTATGCATTTGTGTCCACCAATGGGGCTCTGAAATTAAGAAGCGAGAAGCAAATATAAATCATTCTTGATGCAAGAACTAGACTGCTTTAGCATTGTTTCAATAGATATGAATGCTACACATTCCACACTCACAAATGTTATATTGGGTCCCTGTACTGACTGCTGTGATGGAACTATCCTCAACAATTTCTTCAGTTTGCAGTTTCATCAAAATTGCCTGGTGGCAGCTCCACTTCCTGCTGCACATCACCAACAAAGTTGTCATCAAATGGTTCCAACATCCGGGGTGTTGCAGCATCCCTCTTTGTTGTCTCTTATCCCTTGGGCTGGCTGGTATTGGTGCGGCCCTGAAAGTGAATATTGAAGTCACAACTCCATCATTAAGGCATCCTCAGTCCTCTGAAATATTATAGTATCAGTATATACATCAGTATAACATTAATCAAAATTAGAAAACAATTCTTGTCATCACTTTTTCCAAAAATTTACTGTACAGATCTTTGTTATTGGTTGTAAGACTGATAGAGGGGGAAAAGATTGCCACCAGACAGCCATCTTGAATTTTTGACAGTTTCAAGTTTGTTTAATATTGATATATATATATATATATATCCTTAATACAAATAATAACAATTTGGTTATATTTAAGTGTATCAAACAACAGTGTTCTTTATCATAAAGTCATGTATATCTAACAGTTGACTGAAGTCTTATTTTTATACATGTTTGAAATTGAAAATTAACCTAGCTCCTTCCAGTTCTTTTACTTCGGTGTCATTTTGTCAATGTCTCTGAAAAGAAAGAAAAAAAGAAAAACCACAAAGCAACACGAACAAATGTAACAAATAATTCATAAAACAATAATAATTAAGGATCCATTTTCCGCTACGGCAGGCAAATTACTACATAATTCCATTGTATTTATATATATATATAAATACATCAGTAGCATGGCTGTTATGGGCCACACTACTTCTGATTATCAGGTAGCTCAGTAGGTTGAGTATACTGATTTGGGATCTGGAGTTGAAATCATGGGCACATATTTATGAAAACATTCTCTAAGTCTTGCTCAAACTCCGATTTTGTACTCAAGCTCAATTTATTATTTCTTTGTAAATCACATTTTCCCAGTTATTATGAAGAATTTTAGAGAGACTAATCTCTTCAAACCAAAAATCGCATTAAATCAGAAGTGCTTATTCTTGAAATAGCAAGAATATTGGTTTGAGCACAAGAATGGGTTCATGATTTACCAAAGCTATATACACATACCAAAAACACAAGTTGACTATATATGCAAAGTTCCAGTGTTCGGGGCTTTTATCTGAATCTTGGCATTTAACAATTTCAGAAGTAAAAAAAAAAAATGAGTGTCAAAACATTGGTCAAATAAACCTGTCTTTAAAACGAAAGAGTCAAATATTAATTTAGGGAGTCAAAAACATGCTCTCAAATATCCGTCTTGTGTCAACTGAAAGCCCTGGTAAATCTGGCTCATACTTCCTCTAATTGTACAGCAAAACGTGTTCAGCTGCCATAGTTTTCAAGGTATTGATAAGTACACTGTGAAAAAGTTGAGCAATTTTTTCTGGCTAATTTGATTTTTCTATTAAAAGATTCAGTAAATGTTATTTTTAAAAGCAACACAATTTCTATTCGCTAATTTGAAAAGAAGCTGCATGATGCTTGCCGCTTTTAAGTGTAGCCGCCTGAGTTATCATATACAAGCATAATTAGTGACCTTAGCAAGTGTCCTGCCCCTTACGAAGTTATTCCTATGTTTCTATGTCAATGTCTGCCCCTCAAACATGTATTAACTGTACTACAATCACTGCATTGCCATTTCAATTAATCATTGAACATGACTACGGTAGACATAATTATTTTTATTATGATGTTCATATTCATTGCCATAACTTATGTGTTTAAAAACTGTTTTCTTTTATTAAACATTTGTTATAAATCAGATATTGTTTTGGTTATTTATAATATGAAATGTAAATCTGGTACAATGATTGTGACAATTAGCAAACCAGCATCATGAAATCTAGACTATAACACGACAACATGACCACTGATCCCCTTCTGATATGATTTTGCTGACTGTTACGCGATGTCTGACAAAAGTATATCGCCGTGTAAACCTCTAACGCCGTTGGGGTAGTGTTTTCCCCTATCATCTTCAGAAATAATATGGTAGGTAGGTAAGCATTTTTTTATGTTGGAAAATATTGATACTATGTTTAAATTGAGCAGGAGTTCCAACTTTTAACAATGAAATATCACTGAATGCCCATTCAAACTTTAGGGTAAGCACAATATCTAGGGTAGGTACTGCAGTAGCGATACCCCCTAGTACATCCGCGCCATCTAGGGGACATACATGTCGCGGTGGGAACCATTATAATGAATTTCAAGAATTATAGGCGTACTAGTTAATTTCAGATTAACAATGAATAAATGAATGTTAAGAACAGTTCAAGGATATGCATGTCAAAAATGATTGACGCTACAATGTATCAAGTTAACGACAAACCACATGGACAAGAGTGGCATAAAACAATAAGGCGAAACTTTGTCCACAGTGGCTTGTCGTCTACGATCTTACGTTTTTTTATAATTTATATCTATCTTTTATTATTATTTTGGTTAGTGGATTTTTTGTTAGTTGCTATTTCTATAATATTTTTATTTAACTGTATCATTAACATTATGATTGAACTATATCGGCAACTAATTATCGGTATACTACTTATTTTTATAATGTGGATTTTATGTTTCTTTCCTAAGTATTACAGAACATATCTTTCTTTTCAGTATAACTGGATATCAAAGCAGGGATGTCTTAAAACCGGTGGACATTCTACGAAAGATACCAGAATATATGGAGATAACTAAATTAGATAACCTTCAAGCCGTTGCTTACGCAAAAAACTCTAACATTGAAATAAGAAACAATAAAGTTCAATATCACATCGGCGATACAATAGAAATCTACGTTGAGCTTCGTGACTCACGCAATGAGGCTATCACCAAAGGTGGAAATGTTCTACGAATATGGATGACAGAAGAATCATTGCATGCCAGTGCTGGAGGTCATGTAATCGACTTCAACAACGGTTTATATCTGGCAATCGTCAAGGCCCTCTGGGTCGGTTCCCCGAAGATCACAGTCGCAATCGGTTGTACAAAAAAGCACATAGGAATATATCTCAATTTTCTTGAGAAACATGGAACATTTTTCAATGTAATTGGAATATTTGAGAAAGAAGATCACCCTGGCAACGCTGAAACACAATGTGCGTCAATCCCTAATTCGAAATTTTTCGAGAGAAATGTCTGTGACTTTACAGCCGAAAATTACAACATGTCTTTCTATTGTGAAAAACCCGTGGGATATGAGTGCAGAGATTGGACAAAATTCCGGCACCATGCCGATACACCTCCTTTAGATGAAGACACAGCTGTCTTCTTTAGGTAAAACATAAGTAAAAGGTCATGCATAACAAAGGATGCAATTTAGATAAAACTGAGTTTGTTTGGAACCTAACTCATTGTCCTACGTCTGTTTATGTGTACTATATGAATTTGTTAATTGAACTGTAAGCAAGTTTACTTTTGTATTGAAATTCTAAGAGTACACTTATTTAAGTATTTCTGGAATCCAATTCCAATATGTCAGGATTTCTATATCTGATTAGAAAACAATAACTGATTTTGGCATAAAACATAGAAAATGTGTCTGTTCATGCAAAAAATTCATGAAAATCATTTTTATCAACTTCAGAACGAATCTCTATCCAAAAATACAAGACGTCACAGTCAAAATTGAAGAAGGTGAGTTGAAATTTATTTAGTTTATGTTAATATCTTGTCAATATTACTCTGGAAACATGATTGTTGGTTTAATGTTTAAGGTAGGGTCAACGCCTATGGAGATTTAACATAAGCGTTGGCCCCCGCTTGAAATTTCAAAACAAGTAAAATACAAAAAGGTATGGGTGTAGGAAGCTGAAATCAGGAACAGTTAGTTTCAGAATTCATTTTATGACAAATGGGACCTTATTGACCTACACCAGTGCTGGTGTTACAGGTGCGGTAACACAATTACTATAAAACAATATCATCATCGTGTGTAACGTATTCCAACTTTTATCTTGCCACCGAATATCCCACTATTTCTAGAAAAAAATGTTCTTTTATTAAAATTTTCAGCAGAAAAGAGTTCCAAAAATTCACTACTCATGAGAGAATATAGTTAAACATGTCTATTTTTCAAACTTGCTTAATAGTTTGCTACTTATCATATCGTTCAGCATCAGGAATTCCAAACAAATTGACAACCGGTAAATTTGTCATACATATATAACACATTTGATTTCATAGAAAAAAAGAAGAGAAAAACAAAGCTTTCTTTCTTTTCCTTTAATTTGTGTTTCACCATAACAAAAAGTCACCCGGTCTTGATATTTGGCATGTATGTTGTTTATGTAAATGGATAAAGCTATGATAAACATTTGTGACCTTGACCTTCGTTCAAGGTCACAAGAATCAAATGTGCTAAAACATTTTTTTGTATGGGAGTCAAACAAGAAAATCTGTCCTTGCGTTACTTGTTTAGAGTTAAAGATATAATGTAATGTAATATTCATTCATATTTGTGTAATGAATAGGCAAAAATCAAAATAAAATAATAATAAAGTGTAAATAGTTTCAATATCAAGTTTATCTTATCGTTTTTATATATCTGCATATCTTTGTCTATGACACAATCTCAACATTAAGTTGTTCTCCAGAGTAAACATTACTTTCCAGAATACATATCTATAAGTTATCACTGCTGCATTTGACTTATAAACATGCATAATATAATGTAGTATGATAAAAAGGGAGAAAAACTATATCTGTATTCACCATAATCAACAATAATAATCAAATCGTCAGGATTATGTGAAATTGTGTATTTGCCATGTTTGGCATGCAAAAAATTGTGTTTCAACGGTTTCGATATTACATAATTATGAATCTATAGACAGAATAAAGAAGTTTTGATATTGGATGTTTTTAAAGCTTTGTAAAATTTTGGCATGTTTTTCTAATTAAAAGTATCACTACGCTTACTTCATGTATACCAATATGACAGATATGGTATCAAAATAACAGTGATATTTTTACTCTATACTCTATCATAATTCAATTTTCAAAATTACATTTTCCTTTGACATTTATCTGTCATTTTGATAGGATACCCCCATCACTCAACCTGGTGTTATGCAAGAGGTCTACTACGGTTATCAGTAGTTTAAATGAATAATCTGATATATGCATTTATTGTTCATTTATATGAATCTACATATGGCGAAAAATTATAAGAAATCGGGGGCCATATGTGATCCAACCTTTCTTTGTTTTCATAATGATCATAATCTTCCAAGAAATCTAAACACTTGTACAGTGTCTTTTTTGTTGTATTTATACAATTTATCGTTAAGGTAAAAAAGGAAATTTGACTGAGGGAAATATTTCCTATTCTCGAATGACTGACATTTTCGTTACAGACGCTCTCAGTCGTCGTAAAGTCTCATCACCAGTCAAGTCCTGCAGCGATTTCCAAGCAGCTAAAACATGGAACCGAAGTGTACCGGTTGGATATATGTACGACAACAAATGGATCTCACTTCAGTGTTCCATTGACTTTCCAAGAACTACACAGGCCTATACAAAATGCCTTACAAAAATACCACTTATATTTATTGGCGATTCTACAACAAGAATCTTTTTTGTAAATGTGATGAACTTCCTTAGCCTCAAGCTGGATACTCCTGAAGTGAAAAATATGAATGAGAAATCATGGCAAAGGCCCGTGCGTGCCTCGTCCCCTGACGGCGAGATAAGTGTTGAGTGGATGCCTCATGAACATCCATTCGCAAGTTCAGGATTTAGAAGAAATTTACGTTCTGTATCCGCTCGTCTTAGCGAAATAGGAAGCAACCGTGATGTAATAATTTTAATACATTGGTACCTTCACCCTGCTAGATATCTCAGTCCTGAGCTTTACCGGCTTCACGTGAAGAATGCAGTGGAAGCCATTAAAAGTCTATTACAGCGTTCACCGAATGCCAAGATATTAGTTAAAGGTCCACATTCGCACACGTACCCACATTCACTTGTTCCATATGACTTTGTGGCAAAGTTCATGGAGCAAGTAATTTACGAAGAATTTAAGGACATACATAATTCAGTATATTACGTAGATTACTGGGACATGACACTAGGAAACCAAAACGTGAACGCCCACCCAACAGACAGTGTGAACAGCATAATGATTAACAACTTTATGTCATTTGTGTGCCATAATTGAGAAAATCAATTTTCATAACGAGTTTGATCTCAACTGCCAGGTGATTGTTCGTAATCCGTGCAATGACGCTATACATTATAAACGGTACAGTTGACGAGCGTCATCAGTTTGATGAAATGGTATGATGCCGTTCGACTGATACATGTGAAATGTATATACTTGATAACCAAACCTTGCTAATAGTGTATACCACAGACTAACATCCCCGATTCAGCAATACTGTATAATACCACAGACTAACCACCCCGATTCTCGAATAGTGTATACCACAAACTAACAACCCCGATTCACTAATAATGTATACCACATTCTAATATCCCCGATTCACTAATAATGTATACCACAGACTCACATCCCCGATTCACATAACAAAACCATTATCAGACTAACATCCCCGAGTCATCAATACTGTTTACCACAGACTAACACCCCCGATTCATCAATCCTGTATACCACAGACTCACATCCCCGATTCACTAATTCTGTATACCACAGACTCACATCCCCGATTCACCAATAGTATATACCACAGCCTAACACCCCCGATTCATCAATCCTGTATACCACAGACTCACATCCCCGATTCACTAATAATGTATACCACATTCTAATATCCCCGATTCATCACTACTGTATACCACATACTAACATCCCCGATACACTATTAGTGAGTCGGGGATGTTAGTCGGTGGTATTATACAGTATTGATTAGTCGGGGATGTTAGTCTATGGTATACAGTATTAGTGAATCAGGGATGTTAGTCTGTGATATACACTATTAGTGAGTCGGGGATGTTAGTCGGTGGTATTATACAGTATTGCTGAATCGGGGATGTTAATCTGTGGAATACAGTATTAGTGAATCGGGGATTTTAGTCTGTGGTATATACTATTGGTGAATCGGGGATGTTCGTCTGTGGGATACACTATTAGTGAGTCGGGGATGTTAGTCGGTGGTATTATACAGTATTGCTGAATCGGGGATGTTTGTCTGTGGAATACACTATTAGTGAAGCGGGGATGTTAGTCTTTGGTATTATCTAGTATTGATGAATCGGGGATATTAGTCTGTGGTATAGACTATTAGTTAATCGGGGATGTTAGTCGGTGGTATTATACAGTATTGATTAGTCGGGGATGTTAGTCTGCGGTATACACTATTAGTAGATGTTACAGGCTGGTGTTGACCTCCGTTGTGACATACATTGTAACATCTGCTATGTCACACCGGATGTCAACACCAGCCTGTAACATCTGCTATGTCACACCGGATGCCAACCCCAACCTGTAACATCTGCTATGTCACACCGGATGTCAACACAAACCTGTAAAATCTGCTATGTCACACCGGATGCCAACCCCAACCTGTAACATCTGCTACAATGTATTATACAACAGACTAACATCCCTGATTCACTAATACTGTATACCATAGACTAACATCCCCGCCTCACTAATAGTGCATGCCACAGCCTACCATCCCCGATTCACTAATAGTGTATACCACAGACTAACATCCCCGATTCATCAATACTGTATAATACCACAGACTAACATCCCCGATTCACTAATAGTGTATACCACAGATTAATATCCCCGATTCACTAATAGTGTATACCACAGACTAACATCCCCGACTAATCAATACTGTATAATACCACAGACTAACCCCCCCGATTCACTAATAGTGAATACCACAGACTAACATCCCCGCTTCACTAATAGTGTATACCGCAGACTATCATCCCCGATTCACTAATAGTGTGTACCACAGACTAACATCCCCGACTAATCAATACTGTATAATACCACCGACTAACATCCCCGATTCAGCAATACTGTATAATACCACCGACTAACATCCCCGATTCACGAATAGGGTTTACCACAGACTAACATCCCTGATTCACTAATAGTGTATATCACAGACTAACATCCCTGATTCACTAATAGTGTATATCACAGACTAACATCCTCGATTCACTAATAGTGTATACAACAGACTAACATCCCCGATTCAGCAATACTGTATAATACCACCGACTAACATCCCCGATTCATTGATAGTGTATACCACAGACTAATTTCCCCGATTCACTAATCCTGTATACCATAGACTTACACCCCCGATTCACTAATAGTGAATACCACAGACTAACATCCCCAATTCACTAATAGTGTATACCGCAGACTATCATCCCCGATTCACTAATACTGTATACCACAGACTTACATCCCCGATTCACTAATGGTGTATACCACAGACTAACACCCCCGATTCATCAATACTGTATCCCACAGACTAACATCCCCGATCCACTAATAGTGTATACCACAAACTAACATCCCTGATTCACTAATACTGTATACCATAGACTTACACCCCCGATTCACTAATAGTGTATACCACAGACTAACATCCCCGATTCACGAATAGTGTTTACCACAGACTAACATCCCCGATTCACATAACAAAACCATTATGATGAATAACTCCTATAAATGTAATGAATAGCACTCGGGCAACTACAAGTTTCAAAAATATATGCACGGAGGGTAAGTAGGAGATATTTGGGGGGTAAATGTAAAAATTTCAGGCACAAAAAGAATAATACCTATCAAAATATAATAAAAAAATAGATTGCATGCGTACAACTACTCGCGGTTCAATCAAGTTTAAAAAGCTTCAGTAAAAAAACACAGAAAGTAAGCATATGCTTTTCGAACCAACTGCCGTCCGCGGATGGACGGACTGTCTGATGTCCGTAAACCTTATTAATTTAAATGGATGTTTGTCGTTTAATAAATTTTAAATCTCACATCGTTAGGTCTCCACCTTCCTCGATACTCCAAGGGTTGCTCTCTTAAACCCTGGAATAGATCATAGCAAAATTGAAGGCAAGTTGCCAAGTATTTGATTGGTCTCATGTAAAAACAACCTGACCAATCGCTGAGCTGAAGCGACACCAAACTTCAAAGCGAGTCAATTTTACCTTTACGGGACCAAGAGATCATTTGACATATCATCAACAAGGTTTGCGCACACCGAGCCTTTAATCGTGACGGCCGATACAGGTAACAAGCTCCTGTAGATCGCGATTGGATACGTTGCTGACTTTCATCGGCAAAATAAAGAGTGTACACAACTTTCTCAGGGTAAAAGGTCACGCTCAGACAGAGCTCGAGGACACGGATAATAATTGTTGGTTCTAAGAATGAGAAATAAGACAACAGCATCACAAAATAAATAAATACGTGTTTGAATTTGTTCTTATAATTAAACTTACATATTGACTAAATAAAAGTGTTGTATCAGTGTAACTATTTCAATTATTACTATTTAGGAGGCACGGTAGTCCAGTGGTAGGACGCCGCGCTCATGACGGAAGGTCATTTTATCTGTCTAATTCTTCAAATGGGTATCTTTTATCTGTCTAACTCTCAAAATGGGTATTGTTTATCTCTGTCTAACTGTCCAAATAGGTATCTTTTATCTCTGTCTAATTCTTCAAATGGGTATCTTTTATCTGTCTAACTCTCCAAATGGGTATCTTTAATCTCTGTCTAACTCTCCAATTTGGTATCTTTTATCTCTGTCTAACTCTCCAAATAAGTATCTTTTATCTCTGTCTAACTCTTCAGATGGGTATCTTTTATCTCTGTCTAACTAACTCTTCAAATGTGTATCCTTTAGCTCTGTCTAACTCTTCAAATGGGTATCTTTTATCTCTGTCTTACTCTCTAAATGGGTATCTTTTATCTCTGTCTAACTCTCCAATTGGGTATCTTTTATCTCTGTCTAACTCTCCAAATAAGTATCTTTTATCTCTGTCTAAGTCTTCAAATGGGTATCTTTTATCTCTGTCTAACTCTCTAAATGGGTATCTTTTATCTCTGTCTAACTCTTCAAATGGGTATCCTTTATCTTTGTCTAACTCTTCAAATGGGTATTTTTTATCTCTCTCTTATTCTTCCTGTTGATGTTGATGGAATATATGGGTATATTGTGTTTTATAATAAGTAAGCTAGAACCTATAAATATATTATTCTGTACATCGTTTATCATAAAAAAGTCGGTAAATGTTTGAAAATCTGTTATTCTATTGTTATGTCAGAAAAAGGCATTAGGCAAAATATTTGCTTAAGGTTATTCACGACAGGTATATAAACTTCAAGTCATTCTACTGTTTGTGTTCGCTAGATCCGATACCATGGTCAAATTACAACCAAAACTGGTCAGCCAGCGATGCTGACCACATGAATAAAGTCTTTGAATATTGGCAGTCTTATGACGAAGAGAGACGGAATAAATATGTCCAAATTTTTAAAAGTTTCAGAGACAAATATGCGGACTTGTCGACGGGAAAATAGATTAATTTGAACGTTAAGGCAACAACGATCGGTACATAATGAGTATACTGAGCCTATGATTAGAGAATTTGAAGCGTCATTCTGACAATGATGAATAGGATACGTCCATTTTTGTTCATATCACAATGCAATAGCCGGAAATATTACCTCAGAGTATCACATATACACAAACAGATACGGATAGAGACTGAAAACTATGTTAGGTTTCAGAGATTATGAAATTGATTTCCAGATTATCTATGAAGATCTATTTATCTGAAAATAACGAATAGCTTTTATGCAATATGTTTGAGTTTAATCCGGTAGGTTATTTCTATATCTGCATGGACATTGAAAAAAGCCGTTCAGTACCTATATATCATTCGAAATGTCATTGTGTGTTTTGTTACAAGTTCTGTGATTGGTTAATGGTAGCACACGTGACCCGAAACACCAGCTGTTAATATTAGCATGTGCGTCTGGTTTTTTCGTGGGACTACTTTAAAGATATATGTATGTATTTTCAAAATCCATAACTTTCAATAAGCTATTATCATTCGAGTTGTCTCCCATTGCACGAACCGATCTCGCAATCTTGCTAGATTAGTTTGCATTATCAAGTATTAAAGCAGCTTTTTTTTAAACCGCTAAAAGAATAGTCTCAACTATTTTTGCAACAGTTCTTGTAATACGTATCTGACAAAGCTCAAATTGTTTAATCTGACAAGGTATTTCGGTGTCCCGTATGGGTCTGCACATAGAGATCAAAATAGTAAAAGGAGTTTCCAAGATTAAAAAGTATGAGGGTAAAAAAGAAAAAATTTACTCACACACATATTCATGAATTTCATCTAACATGACAAACGCAACATGTAAATATAGT